TGTTCACAGTTTTCACTACCAAGAAATAACCATGAGATAGCGTTGCCATGACAACTCTATGTTATTAGTCAGAATTGCCCCATTAATTGTAACTTTTATGATTAAAATGAAAATTTCACTTTTAATTGTTTTTATTTTAAAGTTTATTTCCAATTTAGTTTCCAATAAAGTTTAATTTTATTTTAAAGTTTAAATTCCATAATTTAAGCGGTCCATGTACCATACTTTTATTTTATTTAAATAATATGTACTTTGTTGCGTTTAGAGAAGTGTTATGTTGCAATTTGTTGCGTTTGACTTGCTTAATATTTAATTATTTATAAGAGTAATTTTTGGAGCAATTCTGCCGTAATAAAGCTCATAACATAGCGTTGTAATGGCAACGCTATGTTATGCTTGTTTATTGGTGGTGAAAACTGTGAAAATATCTATCGATTTGTTGTGCGATCAGGCGTATTTAACATATAAACAAGCAAGGAAGAATCTTATAATAACAGAATTTTCGAAGATGCTGTTATCATAAATTCTTCTTTGATTATTTATATGTAAAATACGCCTGACTGCACAGCAAATAAATAGCATTTTCACACAGTTTTTACCAAGCATGACATAGCGTTGCCATGACAACGCTATGTTATGAGCTCTGTTCAGACAGAATTGTCCCATTAGACTTTAAGAGAACTAAGATATATGATCGATAATGTTGTATTTTTATACTTCGAAGGTAATACAATATACTATATTTTTACTGTCAAAAACTTAAAATAAATTCTGAATTAATATTAAACGTTCATTTATCTTGTAAATAAACAAAATCGTTATAAGTCCAAAATAAAATTTTAAATGTAAAATTTCTTTAGGCGCGACTAGTGGGTAACTTAGCAAAAATGCAACGGAAATGCGTTACGCCACATGTGAATAGAGTTGATATAATTGGTCGAGATCGTCTTGTCACGTGATATCTTTCATTCTAAACTCGCGATAATGTGCGTTACGAAACGTCAAATATCAATCAACTGATGTATAAGGTTATGTCGTCGAAATTTAGATTGAATGAAAATGATGAATGAATCACGTGTATACCTTGCGCGCATTCTTTTTTTAAGACTGTAATTTGTTTGCAACTATTGTTTCAATGGCAGAAAGTCTGATGATAAAATGTAACAGGTTCTGAAACGTTACAAGTGAGTAACGCAAAAAAAAATTCGATTTATTTGGAATCGACTTTTAAGAAAACAAGCAAACAAATCCAATATTTATATATACATGAATACATGCGTAAATATAAATATTAAAGGAGCAATTCTACCCTAACAGAATTCATAACACAGCGTTGTCATGGCAACGCTCTGTTATGCTTGTTTTTGGTAGTGAAAACTATGAAAATATCTTTCTATTTTCTGAACGATCAGACGTATTTTACATATAAACAAGCAAGGAAGAATATTATGATAACAGCATCTTCGAAGAGATTTCTTGTTTATATGTAAAATACGCCTGATCGCACAGCAAACAGACATTTTCATATTTCACTACCAATAAACAAGCATAAGATAGGGTCGCCATGACAACAGTCTTTTTTTCACAGTTTTCACTACCAAGAAATAAGCATAACATAGCATTGCCATGACAACACTATGTTATGCGCTCTGTTATGAAAAAATTGCCCCATAAGTGTCCTATATTACCTTCGAAGTAACTTAAAAAAAAAAAAAAAACTCAATGAGAACTTTGCACATAAGTTTGTATGATATGATCTTTTTAATTTTATTCAACTGTTTTATGTGAAGTTAATTTCGACAATAATTTGTGAGCTGATTTAGTAGTTGTCTTTATAGGAATTTGGTTGTTTAGGAACATCAAATTATAGGAACTTGGTTTCGTGGGAATCTACCAGGGCAACACGATACACGAGAAGAATAATAATTATAGTAATAAAGTAATAAGTAATAATAAATAAGAAATTAATAATAATAATAACTAAACAATAAATATTAAAAAATTAGGTACTTTTGAAATTAATATATATTATACTTCTAACAAAAAATCAATTCCAAGAATACATTAATGTCTTCAAGCTTGTACATTTTCAATTTATATTAATTAGAACTTGATAATGTCTATTTATTAATTTATAGGAATTTTGTTTGTCATTTTTAGAAAAAAGTCACTTGTTTATCTTTAACAATATAATAATTAATAATTATTATATGATTAATAGGATTAAATTCAACAAAAATTAATTTAACAATAATTAAGTAAATAAATCATAAATAATACTTCATATATTTGTAAGTTAAAATTACCAAAATATAATGATTCTGTAGAATGTCATATTGATACAAATTTTTCTTCTGTATCGTGTTACCTTGTCTTGAAGGAATATGGCTTTATAGGAATTTCAAATTGTATTTATAGGAACTTGTATAGGAACCTCGTTTTATTCCTGTAAAAATTTAATTTACAGTTTTATAGGAACTCAATCAAGTAGGAACCTTTTTCTATAGGAACTTATTACTCTGGGAATATGCCCTTTTGGTAAAAGGGCTGTTATCGTGTCTTTAAAATGAAAGAGATATTTGTAATAGTTAGTTTTTGATATAAGTATTGGTGTGTGAATTTCAGTTTTTATTATTTATATAAATTTTAAATGAATTTTTATTTCATGAATTAAATGTGCTAATTGCTTCAATCATACTCGACAAAGCAATTAGTACAAGCTAAATAGGACAAATTAGGACAAGCTATTTTTTTGATTATTTTTGATTTTGATTATTTTTTTTATTAATATATCTGTTAAAACAAGAAAGACACTTAACTATTATAATAATTAATAAAATTATGATTTTTTGATACTGTTGAAACTAAAAAAATAAAATAATTGAAATAACTAATAAAAAAATAATTTAATAACTAATAAAATAAACAAGAAAGATACTTAACTATTTTAACATTTGATTTTGATTTTTTTTTATTATCTGTTGAAATAAGAAAGACACTTAACTATTTTAATAATTATTTAAACTATGATTTTTTATACTGTAGAAACTAAAAAAATAATTAAGTACTTTAATAATTAAATTCGGATTTTTATGACTGTATTTTTTGAAACAAAAAAAAACCTAACAATTTTAATAAATATTTGAAATGATTTATTTTTGTTGTTGTGCCTTTTTAAAACGAAGATTATTTAACTTTAATAATTTGACAGACTATTTTAATGAAAATTCTAACCAGAACCTTTTAAGTAAAAAAAAAACTCCACTTGTTCATACTATCAAAATAATTTCTATTAAATATTTAAATTAGGACTTTTTTTATAAAAAAATCACTTTGGTTGTTGAACTTTTTAACGATTCAACTAACTATTTTAATGAATATCTAATATAAGACTTTTTTAAAAACTGGCTGAGTCTGTTTAAACATAAAAATATGAAATAAAATATTTTACAGCTGTGACTGTTGAAAAAAAAATTCTCTGGTAAAAAAAATCTAATAATCTTATATCATCAACAACTGTAACAATACTTGTCGATGACATTTAGATTTTTAGATTTTTTTAATGAACTGTTATGAAACAAATTTATAATATGTGTTTGTTTTTTTGTAAAAGAAATGAGAATGATCAAATAAAAAACATATGTGAAAAGATAATATAAGAAAAAAGTTTGTAAAAAAATATTCAATACTTAACAAATAAAAATTGTTTTTTTTTAAATTTTTTCATGATTTATTTTAGAATTTGTTTTATTTTATTTTATATTAATTTTAGTTTAATTGTAGAAGATTTAAATCTTCTTGAAACAATTGTTTCAAAATAGTAGTTATATATCCGGGTTTATTGTTATTTAAATACCTCATTTTTTTAAAAATAATTTCAGGATTTGATTTACTGAATGATGACACATAACAAGTGTCAAAACATATAAAATAAAAACTAATTTAACTAAATTATATATATATATATATATATATATATATATATATTTGAAGTATTTTGCAGCCCAATCGTTGAATTAAAAAAGGATACCAGTTACGCCCCCCATCCACTCACTCTACCTTACATGTCGCGTAACCTTAAATTGATTTGTGTTACTATGCACTCCGAGCAAGGATCATGTAATATTAGGGGTGCAGTATGTGCTCTTTTAATTTTCTCTCTTTATTAATTATTATTAGTTATGAAGTTCTTTTGCAGAAGTTTAGTGTTAAATAATTTTTTCTGTGTTTTTCCTGGTTTAGTATTTATATAATTTTCTCCTTTTTATACTAATTTCATCTATTGTTATTTATGTAATATGTTCTTTTAGATTACTGAATGATGGCACACATTAAGTGTCAAAACGTTTAATAGAATAAAAAAAAATCTATTTATTCTTTTTTTAATTCGACGATTGCGCTGCAAGATACTTCAAATATGTATCAATGTCGACAAATCTATCAACACACATAAATTAAAACAAAGCTAGTTTCTCCGTTAACTCAAAATAGGCAAATCCCAATTAGATGCACAATATTGAAATAAAATAAATAATATATATATATATATATATATATATATAATAACATATAAAATAGTAATGTGTTCTGAACTAAAAGCTTCTGTTATATTTTCAGAAAATTATTTTAAAATTGATAATCTTTTATTGTCTCGATCTAAATTAATTGTTTGCCTTTAATATTGTAGTTATAATGTTCTTCTCTTAATATTATAAAATAGTAATTATAAGTATAATATTAATTTTTTTTTATTTTTTGGAACTAAATATTCATTGTAAAATAACATTATAATTAAAAGCATCACGTTTGGATAAAAATAGCAATTAAAGTAAGGTTCAGAACACATTTGTTCAAATATATAAAAAATATTATAAATATATATTTATATATATATATATATATATATATATATATACACATATATATATATATACACACACACACACACACACATATATATATATATATATCATATATATATATAGATGTATGTAAATGTAACTTTCTATTTACATTTCTCTTGAAAAATCTGCTTCCATTGTCCCTGGTGTGTTGTTTTCCATTAAATATTGCGCACTTGCATACTCCTGCCTGGTTTGTTGTGTTCTCAAATGATATGATAAAATACTCGGCAACACATAAGAGTTGCTAATAATAATAAATAGAAGTCTGCTTGAAGACAGGTCCATGGTGCCAGAGCCACCATAATGAATGAACTCGGCAACACATAAGAGATGCAGAAGCTCCTCATCATAATAATAATAAATAGAAGTCTGCTTGAAGACAGGTCCATGGTGCCAGAGCCACCATAATGAATAATAATCATTCCTCCTCATCATCTTAAAGATAATTAGACATTGAATTTTGATGATGCCATTGGTGGTGGATTTAGTATTATATTATCCAGAGATAACAAGTTTTTTATTCTGATGTTTCTGAAAATATAATGGAATTTTGTATTGAATCTTCTGGTTAAACCTGTTGTTATTTTTTAACCCCCAAATAAATTTCCATATGTCTCAAAAAGATCTTTTATTTGTTCCATTTTTTTCTTGAATTTAATTTCTGCTACAAATTCTGGTTATTGTCTTGAGAGACTGATTTCTTAAGCCTGGAATTGATTTTCATACGCCGAAGCAAAATATTTTATTTGTTCTACTTCCAGATTGTTAATATAATTAATATCATATGTAAGCTTTGCCTGAATTGAATTTCTGATACAAGATCTTGATGATTTGCAATTTGTAATTTTTTTGGATTAGTGAGTGCTGAAGCAAGATATTTTATTTGTTTTTCGTCCAGTCTATTAATATAACTGCTGTTGTATATATATTTTGTCTAAACAGAATTTCTGGTACAATCATTGAAAGAGACTACTGATTGTCTTTGTTATTTTTTAAGCCTGGAATAAAATTTTGTACTCCTCAAGCAAATTTTGCAAAGCAAGATGTTTTATGTAATTAGTTCCATTTCCAGTTTTGTTATAACTTTGTTGTTCACATTTTTTGTCTTAATTTCATTTCTGCTACAAATTCTGGTAATTGTTGTAAGAGACTGATTTTTTAAGCCTTGTAAGGAATTTTCATGCACCAAAGCAAGTTATTGTATTTGTTTCTCTTCCAATCTATTTATAATATAGATACCGTTGTATATATTTTTGTCTAAAGTGAATTTCTGGTACAAATTCTGGTGTCTTTTCTTATTTTTTAAGTCTGGAATAAATTTTTGTATAGTTCAAGCAAATTCTCAAAAATACTCCTTGTTCAAATTAAATTTCCGCTACAAATTCTATTATCAGTTGAAATAACCTCATTAGTCTTTGTAGTTTTTTAAGCCTAGGATGAATTTTTGTATATCGAAGCAAGATATGTATTTTATTTGTTACACTTCCAGATTGTTATTATAATTAATGTCATATGTATGTTCTGCTTGAATTGAATGTCTGGAACAAGATCTTGATGATTTTTGTAATTTTTTTTATTCTGAAATGGATTTCCGGGTTTTGACGCAAATTTGTTTTGAAGTGTATTTGTTTCTCTTCCAATCTATTACTGTTGTATATGTTCTTCGTCTAAACTGAATTTCTGGTACAAATTCTGTTAATCATTGAAAGAGACTACTGATTGTCTTTGTTATTTTTTAAGCCAGAAATGAAAAAGCAAATTTTGCAAAGCTAGTTGTTTCATTTCGTTAGATTTGTAATTACTGTTGTTTACACACCTTGTCTGAATTTAATTTCTGGTACAAATTCTGGTAATGGTTGTTCTGGTGTTCAGACTAGTATTGTTATTAAAGCCTAGAATGAATTTTTGTGTGCCGAAGCAAGATATTTTGTTTATTTCACTTCCAGTCTGTTATTATAATTGATTTTCTGTTAGAAATTCTAGTAATTGTTTTTAAGGCTTTCCAGTTTTCTAATTGGTGTTTATGTAACTTGGAATTTAAGTTCTGCTACAAATTCTGGTATTACTATTGTATATATGCTTTGTCTGAATTTAATTGCTGCTACTATTTTTGTTTCAGAGTGTTGAAGCAGAATATTATATCTGTTTCTTTTCCATTCTATTAATATAATTACTGTTGTTTATATTTTTTGTCTGAAGTGAATTTCTGGTAAAAATTTTGGTAAGAAACTGATGTCTTCTGATATTTATTGAGTCTGGAATGAATTTTTGTGTGTCGAAGCAAGATATTTCATTTGTTACGCTTCCAAATTGTTATTATAATTAATGTGATATTGAATTTTTGCTACAATTATTTGCTTCAGCTTCATTTTTTAATTCTTGAATGGATTTCTGATTGTTGAAGCAAAATATCTTATTTGTTTCACTTCCAATATAATTTACTGTTGTATCTATTTCACGTCTAAACATAATTTCTGGTACAAATTGTGGTAAGAGACTGATGTCTTCTGATATTTTTTAGTCTGGAATAAATTTTTGTTGTCGAAGTAAGATATATTATTTTTTACACTTCCAAATTGTTGTTATGAATGATGTCACTTTGACTTTTTGCTGCAATTTTTTACTTTTGCTGCATTTTTTAATTCTTGAAAGGATTTCTGAGTGCTAAAACAAAATATCCTAAAGCTGAATAGCTGAAGTTTAATTCCAATATAAAAGTGATTCCAATATAACTACTGTTGTATATTTTTTGTCTAAACTGAATTTCTGGTACAAATCCTGGTGAAAGATTGATGTTTTTTGTAATTTTGCAAAGCTAGTGATTGTATTCAGTCAGTTTCTTCCAATTATGTTATTACTGAATTAAATTTCTGTTCCAAGTGACCTTGTACAATAAAATAAAGATCTTTCGACTTGTTTTGTATATCCCATAACTAAATTCTGGTAAGAGAGATTGATGTCTTTTGTTTTTTCAAGCCTGGAATAAATTTTTGTATTCATTAAGCAAATTTTGCAAAGCTAATAGTTTTATTTAGTCAGGTTCACTTCCAGTTATGTAATTACTGAATTAAATTTCTGCTCAAAGTGTCTTTGTACAATAAATTAAAGATCTTATGACTTGTTTTGTATTTCCCTATTACTTGATTTAAATTTATTCAATGATTTATAATGTATGCAAAAAAGCATTCATGAAACATGTTATTTGTTTGTATCAATGATAGTTGCATATAAATGCAATACAAATGACAATGTGCTTACAAATTGATAATATGAATTAAAATTGATAATGCTCATGTAATTGTCATAAATTAGTGACCTCTGAGAATATAACAGAAAATAATATTTGTACAAAGACTGTGTCTTTAACTAAATAGAAATATAGAACAATTACTCCAAATTTTTCAAATACTAGTGCAATCTTGTAAGGATTTTAATCTTGTTGTGTAATTGAAATTCAGCTACAAGTTAAGGATCTTGTTACCTTGCTTTTATATACATATATATCCCATAACTATTGCTTTATTTAATTCAGTCGGTCATTTACAATATAGATGAAAAAGCATTCATAAGGACATGTTAGTCGCTTGCACGTTATTCTTGATTTAAATGATAGTTGTACAAATAATCACTTTACGAATTGATGACTTGTAAGTTACTAATAATTATTGTCGTAGACATAAAACAGTCTTTGTACAAACTCTGTTCCTTTAATTGAATAGAAAGACAATTGATAGATTTTCTCAAATACTACAGCAAGGATTTTAATATTGTCATGAAATTAAATTTCAGCTACAAGTTAAGGATCTTATTACCTTGCTTTTATATACATATATATTCCATAACTATTGCTTTATTTAACTCAGTCGATGAATTACAATGTATATGGAAAAGCATTCATAGAGATATGTTATTCGTTTGGATGCTATTCTTGATGTAAATGATAGTGGTACAAATAATCACTTTACAAAATGATGACTTGTAAGTTACTATTTATTATTGTCACAGACATAAAACAGCCTTTGCACAAACTGTGTTAAAAAAGCAGAAAAACAATTGATAGATTTTTTTAAATACTATTGTTTAAATACTATTAAGTATGTGAAAAATTTGCCTTACCTATTTAGTAAGTCCCCGTGTAACCAAATCCTCAATGGCCATTTCCAAATCAATAATAAGTTAAATAAACATATTTCCATCATATTTTATCCAACTTATTATCAAATTTCCTCAACAATTCACGTTTGATTGATTTTTGTGACCAAGCATATCTGATGATTTTTAAGTCGGATTATTTCCATGAATATTTGCGAGGCGTACATGATTAATGTCTTGTTTGATAACTATAATATAAATAATAATTTAGAATGTTTTTTTAATAATGTACAAGTGTTATTTATTAACTTATTTACCTAAAAACGAATGACGCTGTTTGTCTGATGAATAGGAGAGCACAACAAACATTATTGATTTTTGACAATTGCGTCGCAGTTTTATTTGAGCCGCGTCTATACAGAAAAAATTATGCGATTGGCAATATGTTTATTTTTAATTTTATGAAAAATAAAATAGAAAAGAAAAATTGTTAAATAGGTGTTCTAAATAAATAATTTAGTTTTATTTAGCATAAAAAATATGTCAATAAAATTCATTTTTAAATATTAAATTTATATATAATCTAATGGTTGATTTTTTGCAAATGGTGGAACCAGAATTTATATAATCATAGATTAAACTAGTGGGGTGTATGGCATCGTGCCTTAAGGCAAATTGCTGGAACTTCCCGTACCGTATCCAAAATCAATTATTTTGTTAAAACAAGCTGAAAGTTCTTTGAATCATTTAAATTGGACACTTAGTTCTCTCAAAAACTGCCATTTTTCGCACATTTAGCTCTGTATCTTCGAAATGGTTGGGCCTGCCATTGCCAAAAACTAATAAGCACTTCTCCCAATCATTACTAATTGAATGTTTTTTAGATCATTCAAATCGGATGCTCCGTTCACTCAAAAACTCGATTTCTATTTTCTGCACTCTTTGCTCCGTATCTCCGTAACGGCTGGACCTGCCTTTGCCAAAAACTAATCAGCACATCTCCCTATCAATAGAAATCGAATGTTTTTTGAACCATTCCAATCGGTTGATCCGTGCGCCCGAAAACGTGGACGAAAAATTGTATCCATGCATACATACATACACACACATCCATTTTTTCTGAGGTATGCCAAAATGTTCAGAAACCTTCAAAACGTCGAGAAATGTAAAAATTTTCATTTTCGATTTTCGGCCCATTACAATAACTTACCCTACGGGAAGTTAAAAAGAGAGTATATAATGAATGATGTATTAAATTAGTAATAAAACATTAACTAGTCGTGCATGGGGTGCATGGCATCGTGCCTTATTGCTGGAACTTCCCGTACAAAAAATTATTTTTTTTTGAGAAAGATTATTTTTTTTTAAACTATGAAAAAACTAGATTTTTGAGAATTTGACAATTTTTGAAAATTGATTTTTTTTATAATGTGAAATATTTGGAAAATTTCGAACTTTTTTCAAAGCAATCGCACTGTGTCAGCTGTGTAGAGGCGAAATATCGAAGCGCGTAAGCGCCGCGTCGCATAAACCTCTATTCTTTCTTAGTTTTAAATTTATTCTATTAGTTCTTATTATTAAAGTCTCTATAAAATATCTGATAAATTGATAATTAAATAAGCATTTTTGACAGCCAAATGGCATTTTTTTTACTTTTTACTATGAATCTCCGAAATCGTTGAACCTACCTTCCCAACAATTCCGTCAGTTCTTCATTTCGTCAATACAAATTAAATGTTTTTTGAATCATTCAAATCGGACGCTCCGTTATCTGAAACTGAAATAATGTTCTTGAAACTCCAAAATCCAAGTCCAAAAATCTAAATTGAAAATTGTTACATTTCTTCACGTTTTGAAGGTTCTGAACATTTTGGCGTACCCCTAGATAAAAGAAGAGTGGGCGTACCTTTAAAAAAAATGAATGCGTGTGTGAGTATGTATGTATATATGGATACAATTTTTGATTCACGTTTTCGGGCGCAAAGATCAACCCATAGATAAAAGAAGAGTATAGAGGATCAACCGATTTTAATGGTTCAAAAAACATTCGATTCCTATTGATAGCGAGATGTGCAGATTAGTTTTGGGCAAATGTCGGTCCTGCCATTTTGGAATTGCGAGAACTCGAACTCTTTTGAGAGAACTCAGAATCCGATTTGAATGATCAAAAAAACATTGAATTTGTAATGATGGGGGAAAGTGGTGATTAGTTTTTGGCAAAGGCAGATTCAGCCGTTTCGGAGATACGGAGCTAAATGTGCAAAAAATGGCAGTTTTTTGAAAAAAAAATAAGCATTCGATTTAAATAACTTTCTGCTTGTGTTGACGAAACGATCGTTTTTAAGAAAAAAAAATTATTTTCAAATTCAGATTTTCAAAATTTTAATTCGGTACGGGAAGTTCCAGCAATTTGCCTCAAGACACGATACCCTACGCCACTAGCTGAATTATTCAAATCGGTTGATTTAATAAAATGAATAAAAAAATTTATTCAAACATAGATATATCTATGTTATATACACACACACGTGTGCATAAATTATTTTTTTCAGAAATTTTTTAACCATTCATTGGTTCAGAAGATACGGTTTGGTCGTTAATCAGACAAAGGTAATCAACGCTAAACTTCATCAAATTACATCAATTTAAAATTTTAAAATTCAGTGCATAGATAAATAAGTAGGTGGCCATGCTTATTTATCTATGGCGTTTTTAAGAAAACATTGATAAAGGTAAAAAATCGGCTTATATACTGATATGTATTCTAATATTTTACCAATTGTGCTCTCAAATGATTCAGAATGACTAAAAGCGTCAAGAAAACAAACTTTCTGGTGAAAACATAAATTTTCCTTCGAAATGTTAAAAAGTTTTATGCAAAATTTGAAAATCGCGCCAACACTTTACTTCACACTTCACGTGTCTGAACTGTCATTGTCCTCCGCCATGTTTGATAATTTGACAACTCAATTTTAATCAATTCTTAATTTAAAAAAAGTTATTAATGATTAAACATGTATAATTAATAGGCAATTATTAATTTACACTCCGTAATTAATATGTTTTGCCGGTTCAAAAAATATATATAAATTTCTCTAGTCTAAAATTTTTGACACATCAAAAATGTCTCAAGAAACAAATTTATTTACTAAATCGGTAGAAGTTGCCAACGATGGTATAAATAACTCTGTTACCATTAAATCAGAACCGTTAGAATATACACTAGAAGAAATTGACGATGACAACGTTTCCATAAAAGAGGAATTAGAAGATTCAGACAGTACCTCAGACCATGAAGCTTCTTTCGAACGTTTCATGGAACCTGAGGTAACGATAGATGAAGAAACCAAGCAAGAATTACCCAAAGAAGCACCGAGCCCTTGCAAGATTTGTGGCCTCACTTTCCCAACACACCGTAGGATCAAAAAGCACATGAAAACCACAATGTTGAAATGATGTTCGAATGAAATACTGTGATAAAGAGTTCAAGCACGCGAGCATCTTGAAACTCATATGAGGACCACACCGGTGAAAAGCCTTGTGTATGCAATGTATGTAATAAAGCCTTCATCACCCCGCACACGCTCAAACAACACATGTACATACACGAAGGTAAACGGGATTATAAATGTAACTTATGTGCAAAATCTTTACCTACTCGAGTAATTATCAAGACACAGTTTTCATACTGGGAGAACGCCCCCACAAGTGCAATACATGTGAAAAGTCATTCACCACGTCCGGTGATCTAAACAAAACATCTACGAGTGCATATTGATTGAAAAGCCTTTCGTATGTTTCTTTATGCGAGAAGGCTTTTGGGAGTTCATACTCTTTAGCTTGTCACACTAGGACACATAGGAGATCGTCCTTATAAGTGCGATGTGTGTGATAAATCCTTTGCAATTTCAAGTGGCTTATCGAGGCATGCAAGGACTCATAGTGGTTTCAAGCCGTTCATATGTACGTTTTGTGGTAAACTGTTTGTGGATTCGACTGCGCTTGCACAGCATCTTAGGACTCATACAGGGGAAAGGCGGTATAAATGTGATAAGTGTGATAAAGCATTTGTTCAATCAGGGCATTTGAAGACACATAAAAGGACAATACACCAAGAAACTATATAATTAATAGAATAAATTAAGTGAATTATTGAAAACTATATATAAACAATTACAAAATGCATTATGGCTTGATATTAGAAAGCAATTGTTATTGTTAAAATATGTTTAGCACAAGAAGAAATAATTATTTAATCAGTCAATTTAGTTAGTTTTTAGTTCATTTATTAATTATTAATAAATTAAGGGGGTTGTTCGTTTTTTTTTTTTATTTTTTTCAATTTTGAGATTTTTTGATATTATGAAAGCTAAAAATCTTAGAATTATTTTAAAAAAATCATCTCAATATCTATTTTTTTGATGAAGTTATAATTATATATATATCTCTATATGCATGATCCTCAGAAACCGTTTTTTTCATCTTTTGAGCAGCTATTGTATGCCAGCTGCTCTCTTTTACATTATAATACCTCATGCACGTGACCTTTTTAATGTGTCAGCATTCTTTGAACACAATGGTTAAATTAAATATTTAGTACATTATATTAAAAACTTTAAATACGTTTTTCTCAAATTGACTTTTTTCAATGCGGTGCCACAAATTAAAAAAAAACTACAAGTCGGATCGACTTGCATTTTTTTTAATTTGTTCACCACTGCAATACCTAGTCCCCCTACCTCAAACAACTTCTTAACACTTTTTTTTTTAAATGGCTGCCATTTTTTCCCTTCTTGCTTTTCTTCTTTCATTTTGGTAGGGGGACTGGATTCAACCTTCTTCTTCAACGTAGTTTCTTTTTTTTGTTTCAGGCGATGCGCAACGGATTTATCTGTGGCACCGCAAACGAGATCGATTTTGCAATGCCCACTTTGCGCCCTCTGGTTAAAAAATGATGGCAAAAAAAATAATAAAAAAATTCTTAATATTCTATGATCTTGTAATTTTTGTTTAAAAAAAAACGCATGTCTCTAATATAAATACATTTCGAGAAGAACAAAAACAAATACCTTGCATTTTTTGTAACAAAAAAACGAACAACCCCCTTAAAATATATATTTATTTCATTCAGATAAATTGCTTGTTGTAAGAGACCCCAACGCACAACTTTAGTAATTTTTTTTATAAAAGTTCATAATAGTCGATTTTCAAATTGATTTAACAATTGTTATATGTAATCATGTAACCTGTAAATATACTTTTGAAAAAAAAATTAAACATTAACAGTAAGTTTTCCTTAATAAATATAAAACTTGTGGTGCATGGCATCATGCCTTAAGGCAAATTACTGGAACTTTCCATACTATAATGAAATATTCGAGGAATATTAAATGTTTTCCAATAGATTATTATAATTATAAATACTGAAACTTTCATTATTCTTATTTAATAGACAAAACATAAATTGGACTATGTTTATACGTTTACATAAAAGAAAAATAAACAAAACTCAATGAAGCCGAGGTAGAATGAAGGATCTTATCTCATATTTCTAAAAATTATATAAACCGAATTATAAAAGTTAAAATTATGTATTTGAAGTATATGAAAGAGTTTTAGCATTTTAGCTAGTATCAAAATTAAAATCTGGATCATTTTTGATATTGAAAAAAAAGTTGAATTTTTTCCCCCAAAATCAATTGTTTTGTCAACATGAGCAGAAAGTTTTTGGAATCATTCAAATCGGATGCTTTGTGCTCTCAAAAACTGCCATTTTTTACACTTCTAGTTCCTTATCTCTGAAACGGCTGGGCCTGCCTTTACCAAAAACTAATCACCACTTCTCCTAATCATTACAAATTGAATGTTTTTTAGATCATTCAAATCGCATGCTCCATTCCCTTAAAAAATCGATTTCTATTTTCTGCACACTTTGCTCGGTATCTTCGAATCGGCTGGACCTGCCTTTGCCAAAAACTAATTAGCACATCTCCCTATCAATAGGAATTGAATGTTTTTTTAACCATTGAAATCGGTTGATCCGTGCGCCCGAAAACGTGGACGAAAAATGATCATTAGACATATGCACATCAAATTATCAGATATTTTATAGAGATTTTAACCATAAGTATAAATTTTGTTTACATTCCTATGGGTTCCGTACCAATGTTTATCCGTGAGACATCGACGCGGCGCTTACGCGCTTTATATTTTGTCTCTATGCAGTTAAAGCAGTACGATTGCTTTCAAAAAAAGTTCAGATCTTCCAAAATATGTCGAAATAAAGAAAACATTTTTTCTTCAAAAAAAAAAAAATTAAAAAAAAAATTTTTTTTTGAATTTTTTTTTTCAAAAAGAAGTAATTGTTTGTCAAATTTATAGTTTCTCAAAAATCTTATTTTTTCGAAGTAAAATTTTTTCAAAAATGTTAATCGTTTTTAAAAAAATAATAATTTTTGGTACGGGAACTTACAGCTAGTTTCGCGCACGTTTTCGTGCGCACGGATCAACCGATTTGAATGGTTCAAAAAATATTCGATTCCTATTGATGGGGAGATGTGCTGATTAGTTTCCGGTAAAGGCAGGTGCTGCCGTTATGGAGATACGGAGCAAAGATGGCAGAAAATAGAATACGGGTTTTTGAGAGAACGGAGCGTCCGATTTAAATGATCTAAAAAACATTCAATTAGTAATGATTGGGAGAAGTGATTATTAGTTTTTTGCAAAGGCAGGTCCAGCCGTTATGGAGATACGGAGCAAAGATTGTAGAAAATAGAAAACGAGTTTTTGAGAGAACGGAGCATCCGATTTGAATGATCTAAAAAACATTCAATTTGTAATGATTGGCAGAAGAGTTGATTAGTTTTTCGCCAAGGCAGGTCCAGCAGTTATGGAGACACGGAGTAAAGAGTGCAGAAAATCACAAATCAGTTTTTGAGAGAACGAAGCATCCGATTTGAATGATCTAAAAAACATTCAATTAGTAATGATTGGGAGGAGAGTTGATTAGTTTTTGGCAAAGGCAGGTCGTTATGGAGATACAGAGCTAAATGTGCAAAAAATGACTGTTTTTGAAAAAACTGAGCGTCCGATTTGAATGATTCAAATAACTTTCTGCTTGTTTTAACAAAATAATTGCTTTAGGAAAAAAGTTTTTTGTTTCAAATTTTTTTTTTTATATTAAAAATAATTCAGACTTTAATTTTAATTCTGACTAAAGTTCTAATATACTTTAACCAAATATTTTTAACTTTTCAATTCAATTTACATAATTCCTTTAAATATTAGACAATGTTACAGTATTTATAATAAACTATTTGAAAACATTTAATATTCCTCGAACATTTCGTTACGGTACGGGAAGTTTCAACAATTTGCCTTAAGGCACAATGCCATACACCACTAGTCTTGTTATTGTTGTTAGCAAGAAAGTATGAGCACAAATATTTGTAAGATTATATACACAACAGACATAAAAGTTTATACAAGGAAATAAAATTAAAATTTAACTCTTAAATAATTTTATTAATAAAAACAAGTTCTTAAAAATATTATAAAAAAAATACATGCAAATCCTCACAATTTTAAATGTCAGTGCTCAAGAAATGATCGGCATCTATACTCGTATAAATATGTCCCTCGTTACACAAAAAATCAGTAATCTTAACCAACTCCCCTTGACTTATACTCGGGAACTTCTCTAGCAACTGTTTTGTTGAAATACCTTCTGGGTACGGGAACGATCTAATAGCTTCATACAAGTTCTGTTGCTGCTGATTCAGACTGCCTGCTCTCATACCAGAAATAGAACTTTCTAGAGTCGAGTTATTGAATGGTCCCCCTTTGTTCATAGATTCATTACCACCTTCTCCGTTCTTGTGCCATTGTTCTGCCTGATACCTGGCGTGCAAGACTTCCAGCAAATGTGTTGTGACTTGGTTGAAAGATGTTAAAGGATTTATGTTGAAAAGCATGATAAGAGAAGATCCTTGATTTTTGCGGGCGTTCCCGAAAACTTCGACATAAGTATTCATCATTATATTGGACAAACTTTTGGTGTTATTCTCTTCTAACCAATAGTAGCAATCGATTGTCCCGGTGTGGTCTTCGATGGTGTACGTTATTTTGGTAGATGAGTTTTCTATATTTTTTACTACGCCGACCAATTTCACAATATTCACATTCATGCCCCAAACTTTGAGGGAGTCTCCGGACCATCCTTTGACTTGCTGAATAACTAAAGGTACGACTGTTTGATCCTTTTCCTCTGTTTTAGGAGTTTGCCCATCGCCGTTCTGATTAAAACCACCGTTCATTGATGAATCCATTTTGATTATTTTTATTTATTTTAACATAAACTGTGTAAGTTACGATTTCGCGCCTGTTCGTTAGTAAATGACATTTGCGCCGATAGTGTTTGAAGGCGGCAGCAGTGTTACCATGTAAGGAAAAAAATATCCGTTAAACGGATATATGAGCCGTTAAAAATGCGTTAGGTAAAAACTTTAATTGAATTAAATTTATTATTTTAAGGAAATAACTAGTGGTGTATGGCATCGTGCCTTAAGGCAAATTGCTGGAACTTCCCGCACCGTGATCAGTAATATTCGAGGAATATTATACGTTTTCAAATAAATTATAATAAATACTATAATTTCATTATTTTATAGATAAACTAGTTGGTTTGGAATTTAGTCTTGAGGCAAGTTACATGAACTTCCCGATATGTGTAATTAATCGACTTCATCAATAAAAAATAATTTAATTTATGAGTGATTAGAAGGATTCCGAGTGGATTTATTACACATGATTGAAAACGAACGAACACTTTGACTCGGAGTATTTTCTAATAGCAAATTTTCAAAAATCACCAGTTTTTATAATTGAACCAGTTTCCATAGGACTTTATTGGTTTAGTTTGTTTATTAAAACCAAGTACTCTATCGTTATACCAAGCAAATCGTCTAATTTTAATTTTAACAAATTTCAAAAAACTACTCATTTTCTCAAACTTTGATGAATTTTCACAATTAAACTACTTGTCGTAAGGCCTTAATATTTCAGTAAGTTCTATAAGACCATGATATACATCGCCAAAAATCCATAAAAATCGCCTTAATTTTTTTTTTCAACGGTTAATTACAAGAAAACGGCTCGGTAGATTTTTACCTGCAACTAATCAGTATCATTCCCCACTAATATCGTTCGAACAGTTTTTAATTTTTTTTAAATCGATTCGGTAGTATGAGCCAAATTACAAAGAAACGGCTCGGCCGATCGTCGCACAAAACTGATAAACGATAATCTTCATCAAGATACATCAAATGGCTTTTAAATTTCTGAAATCAGATCAGGCGTTTTTGAGAAAACGTCGATAAAAGTTCTAATTTTGGCAAATGCCAAAAACGATACTAATTTTTAAAATTAAACGACTTGTCGTAGGGCCGTAATATTTTAGTATGATCTAGAAAACCATGATATCTATCACAAAAAAAAAATCATGAAAATCGTCGAAAAATTTATTTATTGTAACTTTATTACAAGAAAACGGCCCGGTCGATCTTTACCAAAAACTAATAAGGTCGATTCCCACCCAATATTATTCAAACGATTTTTGAATTTTCAAAATCGATACAGAATTGCGGGATAAAACGTGAAAAAATTTTTTTTCACTTTTCTGCTATTTACGAAGAAACGGCTAGGCCGATCGTTGCACAAAATAGATAAACAATAGTCCTAATCGAGGTGCATCAAATAGCTTTTAAATTTTTGAAATCGGTTTAGCTATCCGTTTTTGAGAAAACTGCAAAAAATCTGTTCACGCACACGCACACACACATATACCTTTTCCAAATTTGGTCTCACTCGATTCAGAATGGCTTGAAACGTCGAGAAAACATAAAATTAGCAAATCGGATTTTTTTATGAAAACAAACTTCTCCTTTGGGAAGTTAATAAATAAATATATATGTTTAGTAATAATATAATAATAACAATAATATATTATAATAGATATACAATCAAATCTTAATGTGAATCAAAAAGCTCAAATATACATAACACATAAATTACTATAATAACTACTACTTTATCTAATTTATTCTACAAAAATTAAGTAAAATTTAGTGAACAATACACTATAGTGTTAGTTCATTACATCGTCTGGTATCATTCTTAACTCTTATTAACTAATAAGTATTTCTTACAAAATTTTACATTATTTTTTTCTAAATATATTCAGAACCGTCTAAAGTGGTAAACCAATTTTGAATAAGTGTAAGATTTCTAACTGTTTTATCTATCTTATACTTATCTTCCATATATATAAAAATAAGTCGGGTTAACCTTCCTGACCAGAACGCACGAACCGATTTCGACAATTTTGCATTCATTGGAAAGGTCTCGGGCTCCGCAAGGTTTATAGCTAAGAAAATTAGTGGTGCATAGCATCGTGCCCTAATGCAAATTGCTGGAACTTCACGCACCGTAATTAAAAATTCGAGTAATGACATTAGTGAGAATTATCAGAATTATGCTTGGTTAAGTCAACGAGCAATTCTTGCCGCAAAGAATAATGATGTACACGCACTGAATTACACCATTCAATAAAAAATTGCTGGTGATTTGGTGACATACCAATGATTCTGACTGGTCTTCTGTTTGACTTCAATTTGCAATTTCCAGTTCGCCTTGCGTTCGCAATGACAATTAACAAGTCGCAAGGCCAATAGCTTAGTGTTTGCGGGATAAATTTCAAATAGATTATTTAGAAAATCATTGTTTTTCACATGGGCAGTTATACGTTGCCTGTTAACGAGTTGGAAAACCATCCGCTTTGTTTGTGTTAACGCCAGACCAAAAAACAAAAAATGTGGTTTACCAAAGAGCACTACTTTTACTTCAATTACTTACTTCAATGAAACGGATAATTTGCGGATTCACTTTCATTTACTTAGAAAAGTTCAACTAAAAAACACTTCATTTTTGTAATCGAAATAAATTCATTACTGTTGTATGATAAAATCACATTTTTTCCTTTTCAAATATAAAACAAACAAAAAATTTCTTCATCTTTCTCACGAAACCATCTGGTGGCGAAACGGAGTTCGTCGGGTTTGCTAGTTTCTTATAGAAACCTTCCTTAAGTGTAATATGATTAGACTTATTTGTCAATACACTACGTAGAATTTATATCCAAAAGCAGAATTAGGAGCTGTTCTATTCATAGTGTCCAAGAGCTATGCATTTGAGAGCAATTCTTAATGAAAACCTGATAAACAAATATAAAACACTAACGAACAAAAAACTTACAATTTGTCAACAAATGCAAAAAGTACAAAAGAACATTGACGTTTCTTAGTAACTAAGAAAAATATTTGATTTTTGGCTCACTTGCGCTAAATATACACCTGGTTGCCGCATATCCTAAAACTACACAGTGTGGATGCGGCTTTAGTAAGCTCTGTGTTCACGTCAGTGTGAGAGAATGAAATGTCAAATTTTGACAGTCAAAGTGTTGGATATAAGACATGTAAACAAAACTATTGTAAATATAAATATTTTATTAAGTGAAAATATATGTCTTAATGTAAGCCTGTTACTTAAAATTTAGATTTTATTTTTGTTATAATTGCTGTGATCTCTCATACCAGAATAATTGTCTGACTGAGATACAGTATGTATGAATCATATCAAATAAATAAATAATCTATATCTATATATATATACATATATATATATTCAAATTATTAATTCAAGGGAGATAAATGAAAATCAACTTTTAAGAATTCATCATTAATTTATATGCAAGAAGCAACAAAACCAAATGTCTGAAAAAACAAATTCAAACACAACAATCAAAATTGAACAAAATGAATATCCTCAAGTCAAACAAGAACTTGATGATTATGAAATAGCAGAAATATGCCCAGAAAGCAAAGAAATATGTCTACAGCGTTTCTTAAAATCTGAGGTAACAGTTGAGGAAGAAATAAAGAAAGAACCCAGTGAATACCAAGACACTGTGCCAAATCCTAACGAAACAAATTTAAATCAAACAACCCTTAACTCCAAACAAGTCCATGAATGCATAATATGCAATAAAACATTTAAAACAAAAAAATACTTAAACCGACATGGAATTGTTCATAGTGAAGAACGCAATTTTAAATGTACCATATGCCACAAGGCATTCAGAAGAAAAGATGTTCTAAGGGTACATGAAAGGGCCCACTCTGGAGTACGCCCTCATGAGTGTGCGATATGCAACGAAGCATTCTCCTCCAAACAAAGTTTAAGTCAACACAAAATGCTTCATACCGGAGAACGTCCTTATACATGTAAAATATGTAATAAAGCATTCATCAAAAAACACGATTGGCAACAACATGAATCCACCCACACCAAAGAAAGCAATTTTAAATGTACCATATGCAATAAATCATTAGCATCAAAACATGTATTAATCCGACATGAAATGCTTCATACCAAAGACCGTCCTTACAAATGTGAAATATGCAATAAAACATTCATAACAAAATATGACATGAAAAGCCATGAAATCACACATACTAAAGACACCAATCATAAATGTACAACTTGCAATAAAGCATTTGCAACAAAACGATTATTAATCAATCACCAAATGACTCATACTGGTGATCGTCCTTATAAATGCGCAATATGCTATAAAGCATTTATAACAGAGTATAAATTAAAACTACATGTAAAGATTCACACTGGAGAAAACCTTCATAAATGTTCGATATGTGGTAAAGGATTCATAACTAGACGATTATTAATCCATCATGAAATGACTCATACCGGAGAGCGCCCTTATAAATGCAAAATATGCCATAAAGCATTTATAATAGAATACAAATTAAAAGTACATGAGAAGATTCATAATAGAGAAAACCTTCATAAATGCTCAGAATGTGATAAAGGATTCACAGCAGGATATATATTAAAACGGCATGCAAAGATCCATTCTGAACAAAACAATCAATGAGACATGAAAAAAAAGAGTGCGCGTAAGGTTGAAGTAAAACTTTTTTCCTATTGTACAAGATAGCATAAGTAAAATAAATACATCATATAATAATTTTGAATAATGTTTATTAGTAATATGGTAACACTTGTGATGCACACATTTTTTAATCCTAACCATTATACATATTTATATAGTAAAAATTATAAATTATATATTTAAAATACCATTAAAAATATTTATAATGTTTGAAAATAATAATGTAATTAAAGTCACACTTCAGACATGATCAGTTTGTCATTGTAATTAGCATTTAAGACTTGAATTTTATTAGAGAAATGATGTAATTGCTGATTAATAAATTATATAATATTCGTTCACACAGTGAACTTATACCAATCTTGAATAATTTCATTAACGCTTTGTTTAGAGTAATAAATCTAAATATCAATTTATTCTTCATTATTTATAAAAATATGCAACTTTGTAATACTTGACTTCTTCTAAAAGTGTTTGAGATATAATTCTGCAAAGATATATCTTTGGCATGATAGAATAAAACTGTACTGCTTTAATATTTTTGATATCTATAAAAATGTTGAGAATTATTATGCTAAACAACGCCTAAATAAATATTGTTCTCACAATTTCACCCATCATGTAATTGTGTTTGAAGAGTTTCATGTAATTAAAATTAACATACATTTATTGACTGCTTGTTTTTTTTTACTTTTTCGCTGGCGATACAGTCTCATTCTTTGAACAGCTGTAGTATCTGTCTTGGCTATAAAAATAATTTCTAAAAATATATAGTATCCACGCATAATACAATTTACTTCAATAAACTTACGTTTCTCACACGTCATACTATACACTCAAAGCAATCATTCTCACGCATCACGACGACCAATCACAATCGACCCAATATAATCGAGAGCGTAACGCTCTTGCGTTGCATTTGTACAGATTTACTCCCTAGTCGCGCCTAATGAAGTTTTACTTCAAAATTCTCAAAGAAAAACTGATTAAATGCACATGAGAAGAATCATACAGGAGAACATTCTTACGAAGAAGTAGTGTTGTTATGTCCATTTTGAAAATTAATATTTATTTATAAATTAAATTGTATAAGTGCAATAAATAAAAATGTTCTTCATATATTTATTAACATCCAATAAAGTAAGTTATTGTAATCATTCAAAAATCGAAATTGTCAATTTTTGCATATTTTCACGTTTTGAATTTTTCTGAACATTTTGGCATACCTAAGAAAAAATGGATGTGTGTGTATGTGTGGATACAATTTTTCGGCCACGTTTTCGGACGCACGAATCAAAAAACATTCGATTTCTATTGATAGGGAGATGTGGTAATTAGTTTTTGGTAAAAGCTAAAGGCAGTCCAGCCGTTTCGGAGATACGGAGCAAAGAGTGCAGAAAATCGAAATCGAGTTTTTGAGAGAACGGAGCATCCGATTTGAATGATCCAAAAAACATTCAATTCGTAATGACGAGGAGAAGGAGTGATTCACAAAGGCAGGTCCAGTCGTTTCACATATGCCGAGCTTATTGTGCAAAAATTGCAATTTTTGAGAGAACTAAGCATTTAAAAAACTTTCTGCTTGTGTTGACAAACGATTGCAAAATATGAGTTTTCAAAAGAATTTTTTTTAATACCAAAAAATAATTCAGATTTTAATTCTAATTTTAGTTAAAGTTTTAAACATCACATATATAATTTTAATAATAATAATTTTAACTTTGCAATTCAGTTTATATAATACAAAGATCCAATTTTACTCTAAGTAATTATACTGTATAAACCAAATGAACTACATCACAACACATAACTAGAATCAAATAAACAGCTATCATACTATGTTCGGTAAAATTCCCAGTTAATTCCTGATTATAAAAATATGTTTTTTACTACTTTTCTACAATTTGTCATATGTATCCCTACTTACCCCATAGGCGAAGTAAAACAAGACCATAACAAAACAGGGAGCAAACTGCATATAGAACTATAAGACAATATTCTTCATTTTAAATCCGGTTGATTAAGTTTTGTTTATTTATTTTTATAAAATAAGAATAATGAAAGTTACATTATTTATATAATGATCTATTTCAAAACATTTAATATTCCTGGAATATTCCATTAAGGTACGAGAAGTTCCAGCAATTTGCCTTAAGGCACGATGCCATACACCACTAGTTTTCTTTTATTATTAAACAATACATACAATTTTCATTGATCTTTCAATTCTAGGTATCCCAGACCTCAACATCAAACTGAAAGGGGATGATAGTATTGATCTTAACTGACCTGAAAAAAAAAAAAAAAAATCTCACGTTGTTTGGAAAATATGAGCTTTTAAGTGCAAGCTAATGCTTTGGTGAAACTATGACCATTTTTCGATTATTGTGGTTAATTTTTATTAATTAACTTCCCGTAGGGCAAGTTATTGTAATCGCAAAAAAATCGAAAATGAAAATTTTTATATATCTTTACGTTTCAAAACCTTCTGAACATTTTGGCATACATTAGAAAAAATGTATGTATGTGTGTGTGTATGTGTGAGTGTTTGTGGGTATATGTGTGTATGTGTGTGTGCGTGTGTGTGTGTGCGGATACAAACGCTCTTCGATATTTCGTCTGCAGCCAAATCAGTACGATTGCTTTGAAAAAAAGTTCAGAATTTCCAAAATATTTTAAACTAAATTTTTCTTCGAAAAGTCTTTTTTTTTTCAAAAAAAAAAATTTATAGTTTCTCAAAAATCTATTTTTTTCAGAGTTAATTTTTTTCAAAAATGTTAATCTTTTTTTAAAAAAAAATTGGTACGGGAAGTTCCAGCAATTTGCCTTAAGGCACCATACCATACACCTCTAGTTATTTAATTAAATATGAAATAAAAATTTCAACGTGTTTTCGTTCACATTCTCGGTTATAGTAGCCTGCCGTAATGCTCAAAACATCCACTAAGAGCGCTTCAGTCGATTTGACTTTTCCTACCACGTTTTCGCTCATAGTGACTACTCTTCTTTTATCTATGCTTAAAGTGTCGATTCAAATGTGACACTTGATAACGAATATAGATTTGGATAAATTGATTATCATATAGAAGAAAATAATTGATTACAATAGATTATTAAATAGTACGCAACTATTTAACTCGTTAATATTTTTTTTATTTCAAGCAGTGACATTATCTAAAAATGACAGAAGAGACAAATGTGTCTATGAATGATCAGACAATTAAAATTGAATCACTAGAATATTCAGAAGACGTACATGATTATTTTGATGGTATTGTTAAGACTGAATCATGTTCAGAAGATGATGATACGTGTTTAGAAAGATTCATGGATTCCGATGTAACAATTGAAGAAGTTAAACAGGAGATAATCGAGGACAACAGTTATAAATCTGACATTTGTAGTAGAATACCTAGTCATAGTAAAGAAGGCTCCCATACGTGTGGTGTATGCCATAAGACATTTAAAAGTCCATCAGCTTTGTCCAGACACATGGTTATACATAGCGCAGAACGCCCTTTCAAATGCGAAGTCTGTAATAAGGCATTTAAACGATCAATTGGTTTGAAAATCCACACAATTACACATTCTGGTGAACTCCCTTTCAAGTGTGAAAAATGTGAAAGGGCATTCAACCAAAAAGGCAATTTGGGGAAACACATGCTCATCCATACAGAAGAGCGCCCCTTTACATGTGAGATATGCAGTAAAAGTTTCAAACAAATGGCTTCTTTGGAAATCCACACGCGTATTCACAGTGGATTACGACCTTATGCATGTGAAATATGCAACAAGACATTCATACAATCCCGCACACTGAAAAAACACTTGCGTCTTCACAACGGAGACCAACCTTATGCATGTGAAATATGCAGCAAAAAATTCATACATTTTAGTGCTCTGAAAATACACTTGATTGTTCACAGTGAAGTGCGCCCCCATGAATGCAAACAATGCAACAAGGCATTCAAACGTGCAAGCATTCTAAAAAAGCACATGGCCATTCACACTTCAGAGTATCGTTTCAAATGTGAAATCTGCAATCGGACGTTCAATCAAAGAAGTTATTTAGCAGCACACATTCCAACTCATACAGGAGAACGCCTTTTCGAATGTAATATATGCCATGAAAGATTAGCGCGACTTGATACTTTGAACAAGCACATGCTTATTCACAGTGGAGTGCGCCCCCATGAATGCAAGACGTGTGGTAAGACATTCAGACTGCTAGGTAGTCTGAAACAACACATTCTTATTCACAGTGGAGCACGCCCGCATGAATGCAAAACCTGTAGTAAGACATTCAGACTGCCACGTTCTCTGAAAAGGCACATGCTTGTTCATTCTACATATCGTCGATATGACTGTGAAATATGTAACAAGGTATTTATTCATCCGAACAGTTTCAAAAGACACAAGAAAACTCATAGTAAGGAACGTGATGAAAAACAATGAAATATTAATAAGCCGAAACTAATATAAGTGAAATATAATCGTACTAGAAGTAACATATGTTTTGTTTGAATTGTTAACAACAAATATAGAATAAATTATATTAGTAAAGCTTTTGCATCATTCTTACTTATTGCAAACAGGACTCTATTTGTATTATTTCAGACTTGATCCATAACTTTTTCTTATAATGCCAAATTGTATCATACTGGACAAAATTGTCACATTTTTTTTGTAATAACCGCTTCTCCTTCATATTATTATTAGTGATGTTGATAATGGTGTTTTTCTCCCACCATCTCCATATGTCTGCCATTTTTATGTTCATGTTAAAAACTAAAATAAATAAATAAATAAAAAATAAATATGTAAAACAAACTCTCTTGCCATGAAGATAGCAAAACAAGTAGCATTAAAATAAATTAATATATTTGAAGGAAGCTTTTTATTTTTACCACATACTTTATAATGTTATAAATAATTTCTATTATAGTAATTTTACTTTGTTTTTTTTTTTAACTTCCCGTAGGGTAAGTTATTGTAATGCGCCGAAAATCGAAATTGAAAATTTTTACATTTCTCGACATTTTGAAGGTTTCTGAACGTTTTGGCATACTTCAGAAGAAATGGATGTGTGTGTGTTTTTCGGGCGCACGGATCAACCGATTTGAATGGTTCAAAAAACATTCGATTCCTATTGATAGGGAGAAGAGCTGACTAGTTTTTGGCAAAGACAAGTCCAGCCGTTTCGGAGATACGGAGCAAAGAGTGCAGAAAATAGAAATCGACTTTTTGAGAGAACGGAGTATCCAATTTGAATGATCTAAAAAATATTCAATTAGTAATGAGAAGGGATTAGTTGGGAGAAGTGTTTATTAGTTTTTGGCAAAGGCAGGCCCAGCCATTGCGAAGATAGGGAGCTAAATATGTAAAAAATGGCAGTTTTTGAGAGAACTAAACGTCCGATTTAAATGATTCAAAGAACTTTCTGCTTGTCTTAACAAAATAATTGATTTTGTAAGAAAAAAAAATTATATATTTTTTTTTTTTTTAGTTTTTTTGTATATCGAAAATAATTCAGATTTTATTTTTAATTCTGACTAAAGTTCTAATATACTTTAAACAAATAATTTTAACTTTGCACTTCAGTTTATATAATTATTATAAATATTAGACAATGCTACAATATTTATAATAATCTATTTGAAAACATTCAATATTTCTCGAACATTTCGTTACGGTACGGGAAGTTCCAGCAATTTGGCTTAAGGCACGATGCCACCCAGCCCACTAGTTTTATTATACAATTGAATATATATTTGTTGATGCTTACAAATAACTAGCTGTACCCAATAGATATAAATAAAAAAAATTTATGATTATTCAGTTGTATTAAATGCATCTTCGAGTAAAATATCCCATTCAGCATTCCAACTTATAATATAAGCATATCAGCAGTAATTATACTGTAAAGACCGACACATATCAAACAACTAACTATCGATATATGTCCGATCGTAGTGAAAATTTGGGAAATTGTTAGGTAAATCCCAAGACAGGTTGGATATTTTAACGCCTCGAAGTCTTTTTGACGTTTTTTTTAATTGTTTCGGTTATTTTTATATTTTTTTATTATGCGTATGTAAAAACACATATAATCTTAAATTTTCAACCTCCTACCACAAACCCCTATTTTGTAAGAATTATTATAGTAATTATATTTTTAACTTCCCGAAGGAGGAGTTTGTTTTCATCAAAAAATCCGATTCGCTAATTTTATGTTTTCTCGACGTTTCAAGCCATTCTGAATCGAATGAGACCAAAATTGGAAAAAGTATGTGTGTGTGTGCGTGTATGTGAACAGATTTTTTGCCGTAAATCGACGTTTTCTCCAAAACGGCTGGAGCGATTTCAAAAATTTAAAAGCCATTCGATGTATCTCGATGCTAGTCCTCATCGTTTATTAATTTTGCGCGACGATCAGCCAAGCCGTTGCTTTGTAAATAGCAGAAAAGCGAAAAATTTTTCGTCCACGTTTTAGCCCGCAATTCTGAATCGATTTTGAAAACTCAAAAACCGTTCGAAAGATATTGGTTGGGAATCGACCTGATTAGTTTTTGGTCCGAAGATCGGCCGGGCCGTTTTCTTGTAATAAAGTGTTAAAATAATTTTTTTTGACGATTTTTATGAGTTTTTTAGACGGTAGATAACATAGTCTTCTAGACCATACTAAAATATTACGGCCTTACGACAACTCGTTTAGCTTTGAAAATTCGTCAAAGTTTGCAAAAATTAGTATGGTCTTTTTGGCATCGACGTTTGCTCAAAAACGCCTGAACCGATTTCAGAAATTTAAAAAGCATTTGTTGTATCTCGATGAGGATTATCGTTTCTCAGTTTTGTGCGACGATCGGCCGAACCGTTTCTTTGCAATTTGGAAAAAAGTGTTACACTTTTCGTCCACATTTAAGCTCATACTACCGAACCGATTTTAAAAAATCAAAAACTGTTCGAAAAATATTAGTTGGGAATGATGATACTGATTAGTTTTAGGGGAAAATCTACCGAGCCGTTTTCTTGTAATTAAATGTTGAAAAGAAAATTTAAAACGATTTTTATGGGACTTTTTTTGGCGATATATATCATGGTCTTATAGAACTTACTGAAATATTGCGGCCTTACGACAAGTAGTTTAATTTTAAAAAATTATCAAAGTTTGAGAAAATGAGTAGTTTTTTTGACGTTTGTTAAAATTAAAATTAGACGATTTGCTTGGTATAATGATAGAGTACTTGATCTTAATGAACATACTAAACCATTAAGGTCCTACAGAAACTGGTTCAGTTATAAAAATTATTGAATTTTGAAAATTTGCTTTTAGAAAATATTCCGAGTTAACGCGTTCATTCGTTTTCAATTCTGTGTAATAAATCTACTCGGACCAAAAACTAATCACGTCGATTCCCAACCAATATCTTTGGAACGGTTTTTGAGTTTTCAAAATCGGAATAGTTTTAATCACTCATAAATTAATTTATTTTTTATTGATTAAGTCGATTATTTACACATATCGGGAAGTTAATGTAACTTGCCTCAAGGCAAAATACCAATACCAACTAGTTTTTAATTAATTGGTAGACTACCAGACTGGTAGACAGGAAAACTGGCAGACAGATAAACAGGTAAACAAATAAATAGTTAAACAAGTAGATAGATACATACGTAGACAGATGATTTGTTGAATAGGTAAATTGTGGGACAGCTGTATTGGTAGACTGATAAGCAAGTTGTCAGGTATATTGGTGGACAGGTAGATAGATAGATACGTAGACTTATGAATAGGTAGACAGATAAATTGGTTATGTAAAATGGTAAACAGGGCAACTGGTAGATAAACGAATATGTAGACAGATAAACAGGTTGACAGGTTAAATGGTAGACATGAAGAACGAGATGGAAGGTAAATTGGTAATCTGGTAAATTGGTTAACAGGTGAAATAGTGATTGATAACAGGTTAATAGGTAAGCTGCTACGCAAGAAAATTGAAGAGCAGGTAAATTGGTACATAGGTGATTTGTTGAATAGGTTAGATTGTGGGACAGTTAAATTTGTAGACTGATAAACAGGTTGACAGGTATATTGGTGGACAGGTAGATAGATGGATACATAGACTAATGAACAGATAGATAGGTAAATTGGTGGATAGGTGAACTGGTAGACAGGTAACATGGTGGTTATGTAATATGGTAGACAGGATAGATAGATAGACGAATATGTAGACAGATAAACAGGTTGACAGGTTAATTGGTAGATATGAAGAACGGGATGGCAGGTAAATTGGTTGAGAGGTAAAATATGGTGATTGATAAACAGATTGATAGGCAAATTGTTGTGAATTGCTACACAGGTAAATTTAAGGTCAGCTAAATAGGTAGACAGGTGATTTGTTGAATAGGTAAATTGTAGGACAGCTAAATTGGTCGACTGATAAACAGAGGTTCACAGATATATTGGTGGAAAGTTATCTTGGTAAACAGGTGAACTGGTAAATGGTAAATTGATTTATTAATATAGACGGGTAGACTGGTAGACAAGAAAACTGGTAGACTAGATGTAACAAATATGCATTTTTGTTAAAAAAATTTAATTGAAAGTAAACACGGCAAAGCGTGAACGGGTACAGTTAGTGGTTTATAAAAAATGATGTAATTGCTATAATAATCCTTACAAAATAGGAGTTTGTGGTAGGAGGTTGAAAATTTTAGGGTTATTTGTACTTTATATAGGCATTATAAAAATTTACCAAAAAAATAAAAAAAAGTGTTCGGGGCGGCCTACTCCTACCACTTGCTTTCAATCAAAATATCTGAAAACCTGTCCGGGGATTTACCTAAAAGTTTACCCGGACGTATAGTTTATGAATGCAATTACACATATAAATATAAATTCATATAAATATAATTTTAATTGCTTATTTTTCTATTTTCAGATTTTAAACAAAGGATCAGAGCATTATCAAAAGTGTTTGCAAATTCTCAAAGATAATAATACTAAAGTTTTAAATTCTATCCCAATAAATTCATTCATTCGGGAGCTAGAGATGGAAAACATCCAAATAAGCTTTGAATTTAGTGAAAATGTCTTAGAAGGAAGGTTGGATTCTGTTGATGACGATTTAACTAAAAGTAATTTGTTTATTTAAACAAAACATATTAAATATACTAGGGTGGTCCTTAATATGGATTCTTTCAAATTTCCTTTCTCCCAGAGGCTCAAATGTTTCCAAATTGATAAAAAATAATTCTCTGAAAGTTTCAGACCTTAATATTAACTTTTCGATAGTTCGTACTCCAACCAAAGTTTCTATGAAAATAACATGGGTAAAATCATTTGATTTATAACTTAGTGAAAAGTAAATTAAAATATTGAGCATTGTATTTGCTTATTTTGATCATAAATAAAAAAAATACAACAAAGATTTGATATATTTCATAAAATAAGTGTTTATTTAGGAAGAAAAATCAAAAAACTTGGGTAATTGCGGACCATTTCCTTATCTATGTTGCGGACTATCTTTAA